TAACTCCCAGAATTCCTGAACTAACATGACTGGAGGAGGAATTCTGGGAGTTGAAGTCCACAAGTCTTAAAAGATGTCAAGTTTGAAGACCCCAGAGCTAAATGATTATCGGTGAAGATTTATAAGTTGGTGAAGGAGTCAAGCTATTCTCCAAAGCACCTGAAGGTAGAACAAGAATCAACGGATGGAAACTAATCAAGGAGAGAAGCTGTCTAGAACTAAGGAGACATTTCCTGACAGACAGAACAATTAATCAGTAGAACAACTTGCCTCCAGAAGTTGTGAATGCTCCAACACTGGAGGTTTTTAAGAAGAGATTGGACAAGCATTTGTTTGAAATGATACAAGGTTTCCTGCTGGAGCAGGGGGCTGGACTAGAAGACCTCCAAGGTCCCTTCCAACTCTGTCCTTCTGAATCAGTTGCAATCTCAGCGTTTCAGAAGATCTTGCAAACTTGCAATTTATTGCCTTGCAGTTTATTCCACAGAATTCAGTAGAATTCAATTCCGCGCAAGGCCTTAAAGATTGCACTCTTAATATTTGGTCCTCAATAAGTTCCATTGATCGTAACAGGGCTGGCTTTTAAATAGATATGGACAGGGGCGCGCATTTAAATTGTAAGGCATCTGTATCCACAGTTACCAAAAAGCTTGTCTTTTTTGCCAGTTTTATGTTTCAGTGTTTCATTACTTTCTTAATTAATTGTCGGGTCAGCAGTAGTCTTCAAGAATCACCCTCTGGTGCGGTAGAGATAAAACATGTTTTCAAGCTTCTCCAGAAAGGAAACAAATGTTTGTTGCATGTAGGGACAACCAAAACTTTCACACACCCCTTTGGAGGGTTTCTTCTGAAAGCAAGACGAAGCCTCAGGCTCTAAAAGGAACAGCTAGACGTGTGTTGCAGTCTCGGTTTCCAGGGAGATGCAAACTCGGGAGGAGTGTCAGTCCAAGAGAGTCAGAGAATTAAAAACCTGGTAAGGAGTGAGTTTACTGATGGAAGGTAAACTTTCTTTCGAATGATTCTTCAAACGGAACGGAAATGTGAATGACCAAATCCAGGACCTGTAGCTCAGACGAGGGTGGCAAAAATGGAGACGCGTATACAATCAGATGAGTTTGCGTTAATGTTTATTAGTCTCATGTCCAGGTCTTATTGTTTAATTTTATGAGAGTATTCAATGTTCTTCAAATTTTAATTCGAAATTTCAGATTAAGGAGAAATTTCCTGTGAGTGACAACAGTTTATCAGTGGAATGACTTATCTCCAGAAGTTGTGGGTGTTCCACCACTGGAAGTTTTTAAGAAGAGGTTGGACAGTCACTTGTCTGAAATGGTATAAGAGGACTAGAAGACCTCCAAGGTCCCTTCCAGTCCTATTATTCTGAGTTCTATATTCTTTGTGAGCGTGAAGGGCTTTTATGGTTTTTTTCCCCCTGTGCTTCCTTTCGTAAGCTTCATCTACTCTAATTAAACCAGATGCTTTCTTTCATTGTAAATAGGTAGTCTAGTTTAGGGATTTCCAACCTTGGCAACTTTAAGACTTGTGGACTTCAACTCCCAGAATTCCTCAGCCAGCTTTAAGACTTGTGGACTTCAACTCCCAGAATTCCTCAGCCAGCTGGCTGAGGAATTCTGGGAGTTGAAGTCCACAAGTCTTAAAGTTGCCAAGGTTGGAGACCCCTGGTCTAGTTAACATGATGGTGTGTTTCCTGCCATAATTCTCTATTATACTGATTTTAGGAAAGAGTACTATATTATCTATAGTACCCATTTTTGGTTTTTAACACACTGTTTTACCTAGAAATACCGTTTTAACTAAGCTCGGATTAAAGAATAAACATGACAAAGGACAAAAACTTAACTCCCTCCCCCATTATAATATATATTGATTGAATGGAATCTCTGATTGTTGAATAAGGGAGTCTACCTACACATTAGACTTGGTTTAAAAAAAAAGTTAAATATTTGCTAGGAGAGGAGAGGAAGTTTCATGGTGAAATTTATCTGGAGCTTACCTTATTTTTAAAAAAATCCAAACTACACAATATATTGTCTCCTTGAAGGGTTTTTTTTCCTCCCCTTTAGTCCTTAATCCTCTTCCTGAGTAGAGCTTCAGTGGGTGGCATTTTTATAGTTTGAAAACTATACAGAGTCGGATTTGATTAGAGTTTGGATAGAAAAACCCCAAGCTAGATGTAGAAAGAAAGCGACAATAATTTCCCCTACTCCCAGAGTTACTCGGCGCTCACGAAGTAGAGAAAAATCCTAATGAAGTAGAGTGGGGTGTTTTTGAATAAATATTTGTGAAAGTTGGTAATCCTTTAAGAACTTCATGTATATAGAGGTAGTCCTCTACTTACGACCATAATTGAGTGCAAAATTTCTCTTGGCTGAGACCGTTGTGAAGGGAATTTTACGATCTTTCAGCCACGTTAAGTGAATCACTGCAATTGTTAAATTAGTAACACGGTTGTTAAATGCATCTGGATTCCCCATTGACTTTGCTTGTCAAAAGGTCGCAAAAAGAGGATCGCGCAACCCTGGCGCATTGCACCTGTCATAAATATGAGTCAGTTGCCAACCATTTGAATTTTGATCATGGGGATGCTTAACCATGGGGATGCTGAAATGGTCATAAGTCACTTTTTTCAGGGCCGTTGTAACTTTGAATGGTCACTAAAAGAACTGTTGTAAGTCGAGGACTACCTGTATTCCATAGAAAACCCAGAGTACTTGGACACCTTGAAATGGAGGCAAAGCAGCTTTTGAATTAAGAGGAATCGAGGAAGCACAGTCACCTTCTGCTTTCTCTTGTCTCTTTAAATAAACAGATTTAAGAAGGCCGCAAAAGCATCTCTTGAAAAATATGATTCGTGTTTCTCTTCAGGATTTGTGAAGGCGCCAGCTGAAAAATGAACACTTGGCTATTCTTAGGGTGTTATTGTGAATTGAGTGATACCAAGAACTGACTCAACTTAAAATCTGGTTTGATTTCCTGCTGTCTCTTTGTTCCTGAGTAGATTGAAGACTTATCTCATTTCTCTATTGAGCACAAATGGAGGTGACAGTGCAAATAAGATCAAGAGATAGCAGAAAACTATGTCAGTTCTGGACAGCCGGGGCCTTCTAAGCTTGTGATGTCACAGAATTCTTGGAATTTTTCCACCAACGGTCATTTGGATCCATTGAACTTCTGAAGAGCAGTTCAGAATTTTTGAATGTTCACTTGAGGAAAGCCACTGGGCAACGTGTGCTGAGAACAGCAAGGAAAAATAAAATTGTTTTCTTGATATGCCTCAGGACGGGAAGAACCCCCAAATATCCAAAGATATGGAAGGAGAACTAGAATGGAGCATGGGGGATCCTTTCGACCAGTTGGAGAAGCTCCATGGTCTTTCTGATGAGGAGAAGGGCGAGAAGGCCCTGTTACGTTCGCGCCTCAACGAACAGTCTCAGCTGATCTGTATCCTCAAGAAGAGAGCTGACGATCAACTCTTGCGCTGTAAGACGCTGGAACAGATCAACGCCGAGCTGGAGCAGGCGAGAGCGGAGGATTCTTTGCGGCTGGAGAATCAGACACGGCGCATCCAGCACCTGGAGCAGCGTTTTATGGACTTGGCTGCCAACCACGAAGAAATGATCCGCTTCAAAGACGAGCACAAACGGCAAAATAAGCAGCTCCGGGAAGAAAACAGCCGCCTGCGTCAAGAAAACGAAAGCCTCTTCAGCCAACCTTTGAAAGATAAAGAAATAGAACTAGCCCGGCTTTCTTCTGAATTCAAGAAAGTTTCCGCAGATATGGAGGCCTTGAAGAAGACTTATCAACAGCGCTGTCGTTCAGCCGAAGAACGAGAGAAAGAACTTCTGGAAGGCCAGAGGGAACAAACCAGAGTCTACACCAAGGAGATGGACTCCTTGAAAAGGCAACTGGACGTCCTGCAGAAGAAGCAAAAACCGATCCTTGACCAACTGGAACACACAGAGAGGCAGCTAAGAGAAACGGAGAGCAGCCTGCAAGTTAAGCTCGATGTCCTCACAAAGGAGAAGGAGGACTTGTTGAAGCTGGCGATGGAGAGAGGCAAAGTGCTTCAGGAAAAGCAACGGGAAATCCTTCAGCTGGAGAAGAAGGGGGAGGATATGGAGAAGGCCAAGCAGGCAGCCGAGCTGCAGTTTGAGACAGAAGCTGCCATGGTGGATAGTAACCTCCGAGTTAGAGATTTAAAGCGACGTCTTGAGGGGGCAGAACAAGCCTACTCCGAGCTCCGGATGCATTTCGAAGCTTACCGAAAACACAGCACCGAACTGCTGAACAAAGAGAAAGAGTTAAATACCAAATTACGCCATTTTATGGCATAACGGGCACATTTAAGTATTCCTGTCCATCTGAAGCCTTCTTTTAAGAAAGACTCACCTTTTAACAGATATGGGGGATGCATGTTTCCCTGCTATTGTAGTTGCTAACTATAACATCTTTTATTTAGAGTTAAATAGATGGATTACTCATAGCTTGTTGAAATTGGAATGTTGACCACTCATCCCAGAGAGATGTCAAATATTTAGAATAACTTTCAAATAAATGTGTCGAGGTAATAATGCTTTCCAGTCTAAAGTGCAGAGATTTTGCATTTAAGCCTTGTGCCATTTCTAACATGTTTATGTTTGTCTGGGAGTTGCTTGGGTGACATTAAATGCATTTTAAGATGCTGCGGCAGGTGGTTCTCGACTT